ACCGTTCATTCATTAATCATACATATTGCATACTGTTAAATACATAAGATAGTGTAAATATTAGTGATAATTATAAAAGGTAATTATGGTATCCTGAGTATTTAATTTAATGTAAGTTTACATGAATATTAATTTGGTTTTCAACTGGTGTCCTACTATAAATAAATTTAAAACAAATTGCAGTTAGTGTTTCATTCCCACACTAACTTCAGTTAGTGTCATACACATATTAATCAAAATTTCATACACGTTTTATCCAAACAACATGTATAAAAATTGATAAATTCATATAATCACACAATTTATACCATTTGTATATCAATATTATATCACAATTCATACAGTATCCAACAATAAAATATTAAACTTATAGGCATACACGTATTAATCAGATTTCATACACGTTTCATCCAAAAACATGTTTAGAATAGAAAGTAAGCATAATGTGATTTTTTTTAGGAAAAATCAGTAGTTTGACAAATCATACCATTTTCATACCAATTTAATAATTTATACCATAAACACAGTTAATAGACAATCACACCAATGTTAAAACTCAATTCATACCATTTGTATACCATTATTATATCACATTCATAAAATTTTCATAATCAAAACATTAAAGCGTAGTCATACACATATTAATCAGATTTCATCCAATAAATGTACAGTTTGGAAACACACTGATATTTTCAAAATAGGCAATCAGTAATTCATATGTAAATGGTATCTGCCTGAAGGAAAACATATGATATTATATATCATCAAATACTTAAACACAAAAATTGTCCAAAAGTTAAAAATAACTTTTTGTTGTTCTTCTTGTTGATGGTTTTTGAAGATGCTCCAACTTCTACATTTGTTTTTTTTCTTTTTGATTTCAGTAACAAAATCAAAATCGGAATCAGAAGGGGTTTCAACAATTTTCCCCTTCCTCTTCTTCCCCTTTTGATTTGCAGGGGTGACCTTTTTTTTCTTCATTTTTTCTCTCCTTGTCGCTCCTTCAACTTAGATGAACCATCCGTCGCTGGATTTTGAATATTCGCTGGATTTTCAACAATTTTAGGCGGGGAGGGGGGGGGGGAGGGGGGGGGAGGTTGAGTTAATATATTAAAATTTGAAACATGAACATCATCATTAGAAGTTCCTTCACCCAATCTGGGACTCTTTCAAGGCGTTTCAATGGGTTTCTTAGACATAATTTTGTTGGGAAAAAAATTGGACGAAAGATTGAATGTTGGTGTAGTTGGCTGGTGAGAAAAATAGGAGAGAAGAAGGTGAAAGTGGGGGTATAGTGTGTATAGCTGGATAGGTGTGGGCGAAGGGTGGTGGGATTGACTAATGGGAGGTTATGAGTGTAACATTAAATAAGGAAGTGTAATCAATGTAAAATCCATAAATATATGTAACTGATAATTTCAGTTTTAAAAAAGGAACTAAAATCAAATTAATTAAATATTATTAATTAGTAATATAAAAATATAAATAGATTAATCATTTATTAAATAAATTGAATTTAATTTAATTGATATGTCATAACCCTTAATTGAACTGTTATAAGTAAGAATTTTTTAAGAGTAGGTTTAAAACTCGTAATATTGTCTCTTAAATGTGTATATGGTGTGATTTTTCCTAATATAAAAGGACTATGTTCACATGTTTACGTTGACAAAATTACTTGATATCTGTTGCAAATGAGAGGTCATGACATCCTGGATTATATCTTGTGAAATTAGTTAAAGTGTTCAAAATCTGGCTCGAACACATTAATCGTAAAAAAAGGACCATGTTCACGTGTTCAATACATACGAAGTTAGCAAAATCAGCTACAAACTCAATCGTTAAATAACTTGCATCTAACATTTTCTTTAATAATATGTAGTCAATTTGCACTAAATAGAATTAGGACGAATTGTATTATTTAATTATAAAATTTATCCATGGCTAATTTATAATTCTTTAATATTCCTTTGCTAACAAGATTGATCTAATCTAATTAAGATTTAAGATAGTTACAACTTTCAATTACACACATTTGGAAGAAGTCAAACAAATGTGTTGATATTTTTGAGGATGAAAGTTACAAATATAAAAAGGATTTGTTAATATGTGAAGATATATTCCCACCAAGGAAATGAAATTTTATTTCATGGCTAATAGAGTCCTCTCTTTTTTTAGTCTTCTTTTGAGTTTTTAAAAATTAATTTTTTTGTTCCTCAAGGATACAATAGAAAGAGGTATTCTATATTATATTCTTCGACAAAAGACTTGAACTCATAATTCTATTGTTTAAATGGTAAATTTCTTGATGAATAATAAATAATAATAATGTGTTCGATATAATTTCAAAAATAAAATCTAAAAGAAGTGATTCATACGTAGATCTTAATCATATTTTTGTAACTTAAAAAATATTCATTAAATTGGTCAAAACAAGAGTAGAATTACATAATATCACCATTGTCACAATGTCTTTAATAACAAATAAATAACATTTGTAGTAGCAAAATTTTATTCAAGAATCACTAGCAAATTACTTGCTTTTTATTTATTAATTAAATTATTATATTTAATAAAATAACACAAATAATGTTTAAGCAAATTGTGGGATCAATTGCCACCACTACCATGACCCGACCCATGTCCGAAACCAAAACCACT